CCACCTCACTGCTCTTACCTGCTAATGAATTCCTGGGTTACCAAGCTGCTCTTAAATGTTAAAACGCTCCTTCCTCTCCGTGGCTGCCAGTGTAGGACCCGTAGACTTTACACAGCAGTGCAGCCCTGCGGTCGGTATTTTAAATTCTACTCGCAAATGGCGAGCACTCATTGGTCAGCGCTGACCTATGAGAAGCTATCCTTGCTAAGTAGCGGTTCTCCTTCTCACTCATCATTGGCCTCTCAATCACTGATCGCCATTTGCTAAAGGATTTGAAAATAATGACCGCAGGGCTACGCTGCTGTGTACGGGCTACGGGTCCTACACCAGCAGCTGTGAAGGGGAAAAGAGCTTTTTAACAGGTAGGAGCAGCTTAGCAGATTGGTGGGGGGTAATTCCCTTTTCCTAAATTCACCTGGGAAAGTGGAATTACCCTTTAAATGAAAGCTGTTGTGCATGGAGTTCAGCTTTAAACTATTTCATAAGATTTCAGTAACCATATGGATTTAGATTGTTGAAAAATTCCTTTATAGAAGATTGCACTTTCACTGCAGGAGAAATCCACTTCCTTTCCATCTATAATGTTTGCATTAGGCACATTCACCCGGGGAAGCGGTACCCACGATAGTCCTACAGAGGCCGGCTGTACAGCGACTTACACTGCTCCCCACTGTTCTCACTTTGGCTGAGTCTGCGGAATTCTAGAAAGTGTCGCTGAGAATTATTGCCTCTCCTTAATTAGATTCTTAACTATAACAGTCACAGAAGGCAACGCATGTGAATCGGTGCCAGGACTGGGGGCACGCTGGGACTTTGGGAGGAGAGCGGGGAGAGACGGGACTCATGTTGGGAAAAAGCTGAACGTCCAAAGTTTTCTTTTCCATGTGTAAGCATTGGGCTTTGTGTTTGGCCGGACTTCAATGTATGTAAACCCTGAGGGCCATGTCAGGCCGGCCATTTATTAGCAGTGACCCCCTTTTTTTGGGGGGGGGGGGGGGGTGGCTCACAATTACTTGTTTACTCACTAAATTGTAGTTATTTTCTATGGAATCGCCAACTGGTTTACTTTACAGCGATTTGCAGTTCAATTGATTGAGCTTCAGCAGCGTTTCAGGTCACCGTCCACCTCACCAGCAACTCCAGGCACAACATCTTTCATTTAAATATAGTAAAGAGGAACTCTGTGGAAATGTTTTCTTACCCTTGCAGTGGGGCTACCCCTGTACTGTAAGGGTTAACTGCTCATTTTGGTCTAGAGAGGAAAATATCAAAGGAACACTCACCTGATACGTGGTGCCAGCTGGCTGCTAGATCAGTCCCTGCAGCCTCTCACCCCATACGCTGCAGCGGTCTAAGGTCCGTGAGTCATCATGTTCTATATGCTGTGTATTGAACGGTCACAGCCTTCCAGCTCCGAGGATCAGAGCTGTGGTATGTCACTCCGTGTCCTCATGTCTAACGCACATCATTGGACATGATAATGGCACGGATCCTTGGACTGCCGTTGTCTAGTTATGGACTGGTCTAGCAGTCAGGCAGGACAGAGGATTGGGAGAGTTGCTCTCTTTTATTTTAGACCCTAGACCAAAACGAGCACTTAACCCTTGCGGTATTGGAGTTTCCTTACTCCAAGGGTAAAGATGTTGCGGAGTTCTTCTTTAATATTATTATTCATTATTATTACTAGTAACTGCACCAAATGCCTTTGCAAGCCCAGTTATTACCTTGTAAATGTAGCGGTGACGCCTCTATGGCTGAGATATAGATCTCTGAAGGAGAGCAATTTGTACCAGTAATTGCCAAAATAATGCTGTAACACTAGATTAAAGCTGAAGTCCGGCCAAGAAAAAAAAGTTGTCTAAATATATTCTACAATAGGCGCCAAATACTAGGGATGCGCCGACATTTCAGGCGAAAATGGTACTATGGGCAAAATGCCAATAGTACAATAGTACAAAAAACATGGGCAAAAACACGGTGCTCCAACTTCCTTCCTCCCTGCTGGGTGCAAGCTTCGGTCTGTGTCCCCTCTGATTTGCGCTGTTCTCCCCCACCTGTGTTGGCAGATGCAATGGGGATCAGAGGGTACACAGAGCTGATCTAGAGAAAAGTTGTTGGGAGGGGCGGTGCGGGGGGAGGAGACATGTCTGAATGCCGAGCGGGGCAGTGCAGGAAGGAGAACTGGGCTGATCGCTCAGTGTGTGTAAATAACTGAAGAGATAGCGATTACTATGCCCCCAGTTATGAATGAGCAGAAGTGCTATACATCACTTCCTGTTCATTTATAAACGGGGACATAGTAAATATTTACTATCTGTTCACTTTATGAATGAACAGGAAGCAGCTCAGTACGGAGGCTTCCTGTCCATTCATGACTGGGTTGATCGTAAATATTTACTATCTCCAGATTGTGAATGAACACGAAGCCTTTGTACTGAGAGCATCCTGCTCATTGAGTGCTGGGGCTGCAGAAAAAGGAGAGATTGAGGACCCTGTGTCCTCAATCACTTTTTCTATTTTTAAAAAGGGAAATATAAGAGGCCTGTTTAGAACCCTGATATTTCCCCAAAGCCCCTAAGCCCCTAACAGTAAAGTAAAAAATAAATAAAAATAAAATAATTTTTTTTTTAAAAGACCGGAATTTTTTTTTTTGACATTTCGGTTTCAGTTTAAAAATGTAATTGCGGTGCATCTCTACCAAATATTTTTGCAATCTCAGATGTTTACCTTAAAAAAGTAGCAACGGCATCATCACTGTGCTGTACATACCTTGTGCAAAAACCAGGGCTGTGGGAGGTACCCTGCAGTCCCCACCCACTACAGGCTGCCTGCAGATAACCACAAGAGGGGCGGAGACAAGACCAGTCACCTTGCACAGGTAGAGAGAGCAGCAGTGACCGGTCTTTTATTACAGGAATCTGCAAGTTTCTGCACAGATCTGGAAGAAATACACAAAGCTCAAAAAGAAGAATACACACGACTCTTGTATGAGGATAATATCTGCTGAAGATAGGCGTTAAAGCCAAGAACAAGTGGATTTCAGTATAGCTTTAAACACACTATTCATGTTCATCTGCGGACGTCCCCTTTAATTCCACATTGGATGTTGTCTCCGGGATAAGAGATTAGAAGTCCCCCTGGAGGAGTGCAGTTTACCATCTCCGGCCGCACTATGGAGGGCTCTCTTTTGTTCCCTAGCAGCTGAATTAAAAGAGTCCCCACTGAACCCATTAATAATACACCGGGCGACGCCAGGAAAGTGAAGAGCAGCGAGGCAGCTTCTTGAATGGCGTCCAGGCTATTTGAGTAAAGTGCTTCAGTTACAGTTTCCCAGACAGCCTCCAGCAGCCCATAAAACATGCAGGGAGGGCAGCAGCCGGCGCTACGGAGAGGCAGTAAAGAGTGGCAGGCAGGGTAAGAGAGACAAGAGGGGCGCACACAGGGCGTGGGAACAACACTCTTACTTACGTTGGGGTTGATGAGCTTCTCCTTCAGCTTCTCCACCATATCCCCCATGGCCACCTTCAGGTCAACGGGCTTTCTATTCTATAGGAAGGAGGGTAAAGGTCACTAGAGCACATGTTATTTCGGGAGGACACACACAGCAAAGCTAGCAGTAAAGACAATGGCCCTGGTTTCTAAGGGGCCCCTTTGCACCGATGAATCAGAAGGATATCTCCAGTGCATCCCAAACCGGTGATGACCCTTATGTATGGGGTGCCAAAAGAACTGGTGGACGGCACCACAGCTATCAGATATGAATATGTTGCCAGCACACCTAGATTATCTGCATATAGTCTCTACATTCAGCAAGACACAGGCCAGGTTCACGCGGATGGGAAGCTTTACCACCATCTGAAATTACAATTGATCGCTTTTGGAGGGTCTACAGGCGTTCAGAATGTGATACTGCCGTCCCTTGCGATACCCGTTTTCTTTTTTTCTTCTTTTTTTTTACATTTAAAGCAGGATTTCGTATTGCCATGCCAGACCTCAACTGTGTGCAAAGTGGTCGGCACCAGTGGTGTATCCAGGGTATGGAACATGCCTTGGGCACTACCTGAGGGGAGAGGGAAGGGGGGGCTCCGCTCCGTGGGTCAGATGACCCAGATTACTTTTCTTCTCTCTCCCATGCGCATCTCCCCGCCCGTCTCAGCAACCAGGGATGCTCTGGCTGGCGTTCCAACCAACTCCTCGCAACAGTAAAATCACTGTTTGCCAGGAGCTGGGCAAGACGCCAGCCAGAGCGTCCCTGGTTGTTAACAGCCGGGCAGGGAGATGTGTAAGGGCCATACACTACTCCCGGCCTGGCTCTTAGCAGCCAGAGTGGGTGCAGAGATGTGTATGCGGGTGGGATGCCAGCCAGAGTGCCCCAGATTGCCAGGAGCAAGGCAGGGAGATACTGTATGTATGGGGGCAGAACGCCGGCCAGAGCACCCCAGCTTGCTAAGAGCCAGGCAGGGAGATGTGTATGGGGGCAAGATGCAGGTCAGAGTGTGTCAGGTTGCTAAGAGCTTTTTACAGCAGGTCATGTTTGGCGGGCGCCATGTGTACAAAACCGAGCGTCCATCATGTAATGCCACCTGTGTGAATGAGGCCGTAGAGAAAGGGCAACGTTTCATCATCAGGCAAAGCAGCATCACGCCCGACGCAGGGGTGGTTCTAAAACATGGCAACTGTGCTGGCAAACATATTCCTAACCCTTTGAATCTCTGAGTGCGCTAATGTGCTTTTTTTCTGCCCACATTGGACATAGAGAGGTCATTCCCTTTAAACATGCACTTAATAAACCTCAACGCAAGAAACAAAATGCACCTGAACGCAGCGCATTACAATGCACAGAGCATTCATATGAGCATTGTGTTGCGCTAAAGGGCAGGTTTGCTTCTTTATACACACACACAAACACACATGTTCTACATGTATGTATGTATGTATGTATGTATGTATATATGTATGTATTTGAAGCTGAACTCCAGACAGGTATAAAAAAAAAAAACCACACAAATAAATGAAGCTCTGAAATCATATTATTTATTCAATAAAACATCACTAATTTTTTTTTTTTTTTTAATGTATGTACTGCAAGTGCCTAAATTTGACTTGCAAGCAGTGCCTTGCAGTCCTTGTACAGCAGGGCTCAGACTGGGGAGATGCAGTGCAAAGAGCCAGTCAGTTGTACTACAGTGCAAGGGACACACTGATAGGAGGAAAGAGCAGGGTGATCAATAGATGACTTGATCAGGTTGATGCTTCTCCTTTCACTGTCCAGTCACAGGCTGGGGGAGGGGCAAGACCTGTAAAGCTAGCTCTACTCTGGAGATTAAGTCCCTTTGCTACCGAGAGATTTAACTGCTTGACAGCAATCTCATCAGCATCCCACTGTCATCGCGCATGCGTGGCCATCCTGGTGTAACTGCCGGCGGTCATCTTGGTGATGGACGCCGGCAGAGAGAGGAGGGGACGTTCACCTGGCGGGATAAGGTATGCCGCCGGGTCCCCTCCTCTCTCCTGTATCTGTTGGACTCTTGGCCCATGACCAAGTGACCGAATTTTCAGAGGGGGTGACGCCAAAATGACTGGTGTCACCCCTCCAATGGTGTCACCTGGGTGCAGGCCACACCCCCCTTGTGACGCCACTGCTACAGTTAAGGAGACTGACAACAAGCAGGTAAAGAGATGTAATTTCCTGTGTGGTTCTTACCTAACCTTAAAAGTGTTACTGAGCTGCAAAAGAGAATAATCAGGTCTCCTACCATGACAGACAGGGCTGTGCTGTGTGGCAGAGCTGTGTAAATCTCAGGACTGGATGAACAGAAAAACAGGTGGAATAGCAGGTAAAACATCTCCTATATGTGTATTTCATCTGTGTACCTGGATGTCTGCCCGGAGTTCAGCTTTCAAATCACATTATTACAGGTTCTCAGACACTTATAACACAGACACTAATACAGTATTGGTTGCTTAAAGCGACATCTTTGTTTGCACATTGCATTGTCTATGTATCTCTCTCTCTCTCTCTCTCTCTTTTACAGACAAGGACTGACTCTTAGCACCATTGCTTGAATGCATTATAAAAGTATATCTAAAGCCAAACCTTTTTGGATAGGCCAGGGACCACCCATCCCAGGAACACAACAGGAAGTGAGAGAAAAGAGAGGATTTCCCCGCCTTTCCTGTTTCAGTGACAACTGTGAAAGCTTTCCTATCACTTTCTGCCCTGTGACAATGGTTACTGGGACAGATAGACGTACCTCACAACTACGAGATGGAAAAGAGGGAGACACGGAGTATGTAGGCAAAGAGCACACCCCTGCCACGTGCCCAGTGAATTAATTACTTACATTTTTTATGGATACAATAAAAAACATGATTAAAATGAGTGGTCCCCAACCTGAGGCCAGTGTGAACAATTCCTCCCACTGACACCAAAGATGGGGCACTATACCCCTCTCTGACACCTATGATGGAAAACAGCTCCTCTCACTGACATCAATAATGGGCTACAATTCCTCTCATTGGCATTAATGATGGGGAACAATTCCTCCTACTGACACCAATGATGGGGTACTATACCCCTCTCTGACACCCATGATGCAAAAAACAGCTCCTCTCACTGACATCCATAATGGGGAACATTCCTCTCATTGACATTAATGATGGGGAACAATTCCTCTGACTGGCACCAATGATGGGGAACGATTTCTCCCACTGGCACGGAACGATTTCTCTTACCGACACCAATAGTGGGGTACTATTCAGCTCACTGACACCAATGATGGGGAACATTTCCTCCCTCTGACAGCAACGATGGGGTACTATTCCTCCCACTGACACCAACGATGGGGTACTATTCCTCCCACTGACACCAAAGATGGGGTACTATTCCTCCCACTGACACCAACGATGGGGCACTATTCCTCCCACTGACACCAACGATGGGGCACTATTCCTCCCACTGACACCAACGATGGGGCACTATTCCTCCCACTGACACCAACGATGGGGCACTATGCCTCCCATTGCCCCCAACGATGGGGCACTATTCCTCCCACTGACACCAACGATGGGGCACTATGCCTCCCATTGCCCCCAACGATGGGGCACTATCCCTCTCATTGACACCAACGATGGGGCACTATCCCTCCCATTGACACCAACGATGGGGCACTATCCCTCTCATTGACACCACTGACGGGGCACTATCCCTCCTACTGACCCCAGTGCCCAGCGCATTGTTTACTCCCATGGATCACAGATGCCGGGGTATTTTTTATTCCCACTCTCCCCAGTGCGTCCCCCCTAAGCTCTAAGGGGCACTAACGTTTCTTAAAGAGGGCGAATCTCCCCAACAGTGACACAGACAGCAATAAAAAACTAAGCTTCCACAGCTAATAGAAAATATTTTGGCTTCAGATATACTGTACTTGAATAATATTATTAGCTTCAGCAGCTCTATGTTCCTCGCTGGCTATTATCCACCACGCATCATTAACAGAGCGAAGCCGGCGCGTGTGCTTGTTTTCAGAAGTCTCTGTAAAACCCATAAAACATCATAAACATTGTTATTAGCATTTGTGCATGGAACAAAAAGTGCAGTAACCCATGGCAACCGAATCTAAGCCTCATGCGCACTACTGTCACAAATGGAGCGTCCAGGTCCACAAAACGCACGTTCGTGAACAGATCTGAACGCAAACAATGATTTTCTATGTCCCTCTATGTTAAAGTGTACCTGTCATGAGATAATTATGTAGTCTGCTATTGCTAACGTCTCCAACTGAGAACAAAAGTTGCCTGGCTGTCCGTTAATGGCCTCAGAGCTTTTTTATGGAACGCCACTACTTTTCTGATGTTTTTGTTCTGCGCCTGTGGCTCAAATGTGTTGAAGCCTAAGAGCCAGAAAACTAGCATTCTCAGAAGGAATGGCATCCCCCTACTTCTGGTGCACTTCGGTTGCTATCGTTGACTGCACTTGGCACGCCATCATCACTCATGATGATGTTCTCGCTCAGCCATGTACCTTCATCTCCTGGTAGGCCTCGTTGAGCGTGATCAGCTGGTGTTGGCGGTGGTCCCCAGCCACAGCGCACAAGACGCAGATGATTTTGGAGTCCTCTTTGCAGTACAGGCTCAGCTCCTGCTTGTGCAAGGGGCAGTTCTTCCTGTCCGAAACCTGCTTCTGCTTGTCGCCTGTCTCCGGCTCGCCGACCGGGGTCGTTTCCTCCTCGGCGAGGATCTCTGAGATGTCCATCAGTTTGTGGCTGGCAAATTGCGTCCTGTGTTCCTCAGCGTGGGCTTCACAGTATGAAAATGCGCACTGTTCGCAGATGACCGCGGCCTCCTTGGCCTCATCGGGTTCACAGGCGTCACATGTGCCATCATAAGGTAGCTGGGATGCATCTCCTGAACTAGCCATGGAAAACGTTCCTTGTTGCCCGGAAACAGATGCAAATCGGACGCGGTTGGCTGCAGGCTGCGTTGAAGTTTATCAGAATGGCAATACTTTTCCTTTTAGGTATTTGTTTTCTTTCAAGGGGTTCCTCCGGCCTACTTTTGCCACTGCAGCTTTAGTTTGCAGCTTCCTCTTTGCAAATCCTCTTCCTGTAATATGAGATGTGTGAAGGATCAGGAAATGCACGCCAGCACGCCCTTTGTACAACACCCTTTGTACTAGCCTCACCTTACTTGCTCTGCTACTGCTCTCTGGGCTGCACAGCTGATCCCTCTCCTTGCCTGTGTCTGAACAATGAGGATTTAGCAGGCTCCGGCCTCCTCATCACTGGCTCGTTCAGCCCTTCCTGGATCTTCTTTCACTTTCGCACGCTGCAGTGTTTTGCTTCCTGAGTCAAGAGAACAGGAAACGCCAGCCTTCGGAGAAGAGCTAAAGCTCGGCTGCTGCGCAGATTCTGGCTGGCACTCAGGGGCATGACTTTGAATTGTGGAGCCCCATAGCAAAAATTCAACGGGGCCCGCCTGCTAACTCTTTCTGTTGCAGCTTGCGGTGTCAACTGTGACAATACTGTCATTGATCTTAACATAAAGTATATCTAATTAAAGGACAGGCAGCAGGAGAGCTGTCAGCATAGTCAGTACATTATTAGGGAGCATTGCTTTGAATATGAGTTATAAAAGCAATAATAATAATAACTAGGGATGCGCTGATACCGGGTTTTTGGTATCGAGTACGAGTACCAATATCTTTTTTCCGGATACTGAATACCGATACCGGCATCCCAGGATACTATGGGCCCGGCTTATCAGGAAGCCGGGCGGGTCATGACTGATTGCCTGGGAAGCCGGTGTTCTATCGAAAGAACAACGGCTTCATGTTCTCTTGCGACACTGCAAAGCAGCCATGTCATGACCCGCCGCTCGGCTTCCTGATTGGTCAGTAAGCCAGACTGCCTAGCAAAAAGTGTAGCCAGCTTCCTAGCCAGTCAGGAAGCCGAGAGGTGGTTCATGATGTGCTGCCCGGCTTTCTGGTTGTTCAGGAAGCCAGGCTGCCTAGCAACAAGTGAAGCCGGCTTGCAGGTCAATCAGGAAACGGTGAGGCGGGTCATGACCCGCCGCCCGGCCTCCTGATTGGCTAGAAAGTTGGCTCCATGCTCCCTCGCGGCACTGCTGGTCAGACAGCATAACAAAAAATTAGGGATGCACCGATACCTGTTTTTCTGTATCGGTTACGAGTACCGATATTTATTAGGGATGCACCGATACCGATATTAGTATCGGTGCCAATACAGAGTATTTAGGCGAGTACTTGTACTCACCCAAATGCTCCCATACTTACCCCTGATACCTGAACTTGCGGTCAGAGGGAGATTATGGAGCCGGCTTACCAGCCAATCAGTAAGCTTCCTGATTGGCCGGGAAGATGGCTTCATGCTCTTTGCCCACCTCAATGCTGATTGGCTGGGAGGCCGACTTCCCGGCCAATCAGCATCAAGCCGGCCAAACAGCTAGCATGGAGCTGGCTTCCCAGGCAATCAGGAAGCTGGACAGTGTGTCATTACCCACCGCCCAGCTTCTTGCTGTTTGGCCAGCTCCATGCTGATTGGCTGGGAAGCCGGTTCCATGTTCCCTCACAGCACTGCCGGTCAGAGGAAATCTCCGGAAATCTGGTATCAGGGGTACGTATCGAAGCATTTGGGCGAGCACTCGATATCAGTGCATCCCCAACATAAAAAACTTAAAAAATAAATCTTACATTTTAGATGTTTTGTTGCAGCAGACAACATGGCTGAATCCAAGTTCTTCTGAGCATGTTCACAGTGATCTGTCCCAATCCTCGCAGCTTCTTCTTCCCTGGGCTCCGGTTGTTTAAGGATCAGTGACGTCATCATGTTCATTGACTTGCATTGGACATGAGGACGCAGAGGGACATACCACAGCCGGAACAGAGGGGAAGAGAAGTAAGCAGTCACTGCAGGGGGACCAAGGATCAGGTGAGTGTATCGTCTATATTTTAGACCCTAGACCAAAAGGACCACTTAACCCTTCCAGAGCGGTGGTCGCCCCACTGCAAGGGTTAATTTTTTTAAGATACCCTTTTTCTCCTGAAGTTACAGATGCAATATCTGGGAGACGCGCCAAGAAATGGTCTCATCCCTCCGCTGTGAACGGGCGAGGGGTGAATCGCTAACAGAATCACCCTTGCCCATTCACAGAGTGCCTTACATTCTGGGGAAATAATACAAAGCGTTAGTTGAATGGGTGTGGTGCCGGCAAATGGGTGATTGCTTTATGGTCGCAGCCACACGCTGACCCTGCAATCCCAGGAGATTACAACTGTGGAGTATACAGCATCATGGAAAAGAGTTTCATTTATAGTAACCAGCGTGTAACTTGTAGTCCGCAACCCTGAAGATTATTTTGGTTGGGCCAGGTGTTCGGCGCGACCTCCGATGGACCAGGCCGTCACCTACGGACTTCAGGGGCCCTTTGCAACTAAGTTGCAACCAAGTGTATGTGTCTCCTGACATGGCCCACAGGCTCAAAAGACTGAAGCCAGAACTGGTTTTCTAAGGGCCCAACGCTGCAAAAGTTTTAGCTGTAGGCCTGGCATGGGAACTAACCTAACAACCCGCCGCCAGGGGGTTGCTCCAAATAGCCAGCAAGACATCGGGGATTCTTCATCAGAGGTATGTCTCTGGTTTGGTAGCCCCCAAAACATTTTGTCCTAGATTGTTCCCTTCTCCGGGCCTTCTCCAAACTCTTCACACTTTAGTGAATAGCCCTGTTAATGATTGCCAGGGCTGTAGTAAGCCTGGCTGGATTCTAGTTGGCATTTATGGTTAATTCCAGGTGTCTGGCATTAACTGTACCCCCCTGGGCGGAGTGTGACTCTGCTATATTGTGGAACAGCCAATGAGAGGCACTGTGAGTGTATGCACAGTACAGCAGCCAATCACTGGGTTTCTCTCAACCAGTGGTGCATGCTGGGATAGGGTACATAAACTGGAGGGATTTGGCATGTGCTCAGACTAGCCGGGACCAGCTGGGTGCTGTCCAGCCTACCCACAGGCTAAGCCTGAGGCCTGGGGGTGGGCATAGGCTGGTGTGTGTGGGAAGTGTTTCCCTGGGGCCTCCATTATGGAGGAGCCGTGTGTTGCTGCCAGAGGAAGAGGACCAGAAAAATGGATGGCTTGTCAAGGATTTTAGGGGCATGACTGGTGTCTCTCCTCCTGAGGATTTATGCTCATCCCTACTCATTTGCTACTTCAATTACTATCCTCTGTATCACAAGTGGATCTACAATGAGATGCCTAAGAGGTCTGGTGAGTCTGGAGCCTATGTCTGTACTACCCCTGGATGTCTAGGATCCCTATACCCTCTCTCCCCAGTGTGAAGATGTTTAATAAACGTTATTCAGCATTGCATTACTGGAGTGGACAGCAGCTTTGTGGGCACTAGCAGAGGGCGGTTAATGCTAATAGGGCGGCTGAAGATCATTCCCCTAGACAGACTAGTGATGATGACCCAGTTATACCAGCGGCTCCTTCGGGGATGAGCGCTACATTTCTAAGGTGTCGTTTTTTGTGCATTGCTCCCTTAATAATGGAGAAGATTGATGTTAAAATTTGATGTTTGGAATTGTATGTTTTGAAACTATTTAAAAGGAATAAATATTATTATAACAGGGAAGGTTGAATTTACTCTTTGCATTGTGCGTCTTAGCAGCCCTCGCCACCACTGAACAGACCACGACAGAGATAAACTATATAGAGGGCTAATGGGTTGTGCTGAAAACAAAACATTAGCCGAAAAGCCCAACAATCCGCTCGTGTCCCGCTCGCAGCGGCGGTGTCCGGTTGTCATGGCAACTCTTTCGCGCAGCCAATGTAAAGAAGTGACAGCTGGGACA